GTACATTTTGCAGGGTTTCACTGTTACAGGAGATGAAGCAGTTTCTACTTCTTCTTTAACTGAAGACGAAGTTACAAAACTTTGACATATGCAATTTGGGCATATAAGTGACAAAGGAATGGCAGAATTGAGTAGGAGGGGGCTTCTTGATGGGTAGAAGACCAGTAAAAGCAAATTTTGTGAGCATTGTGTATTTGGAAAATAGAAAAGAGTCAGATTCTCTAAGAGAAGATACTACACAAAGGAAAATCTAGAGTATATCCATTTAGATCTCTGAGGGCTGGTCAGAGTGCCTACAAGGGGAGGTGCTTATTACCTGATGACAGTAATTGATGATTTCTCCAGAAAATTTTGGATATTCTACTTGAAGTAGAAGAGTGATGTGTTTGGGACCTTCAAAAAATGGAAAATATTGATAGAAAAGCAGACTGAAAAGCAAGTGAAATGTCTACACATCGATAATGTGTTGGAGTTTTGTTCTGATGAATTCAAAAGCTTATACAGGACTGAAGGCATCTTGAGACACTTGACAGTGCCCAGAATTCCTCAACAGAATGGCGTGGTTGAATGGATCAATAGAACATTGATGAAAAAGATTCATTGTATGCTTTAAAATTCTAGATTGCCTAAGTCTTTTTGGGCTAAAACTGCTACTACAACATATTTCCTGATCAATCGCTCATCCTTAATGGCCATTGAAAATAAAACACCAGAAGAGGTATGGTGTGAAAAAACCCTCTTGTTATACTGATTTGAAGATCTTTGGATGTCCTGTTTATGCGCATGTGAATAATGGTAGAAAGTGTATATTTCTTATAAATCAGGTGTGTGTACGAAAGAAAAGAAAGTGATGATTAGTAGGGATATAGTATTTGATAAACTTGTTGTGGTTCATGGTATACCTCGTGGGGATTTTGGTGAAGCTGAAGAACAGAATCATTCAACTCAAGTGGAGTTGGAAATTAGTCCAGGGTAACAATTAAAGGTTATAGAGTAGCTTAGTTCAGAGGTGACAAACATCAATAATTTGCCTACTTTGCCTACACCACTAGCAGCACCACAATATTCAATTGCAAAGGACAGATCTTGCGGACAGATTAAACCTTCATAGAGATATGGAGAGGCAGATTTGGTTGCTTATGCTTTGAATGTGGCTGAAGATATTGATTCCACTGAGGAACCTGCTACATATTCAGAGGCAGTCAGTTGCAATGATTATGGCAAATAGTTGATTGCAATGCAGGAGGAGATGAAGTCTTTGAATAAAAATAGCACTTGGGATTTAGTAAAATTGCCTAAGGACGAAGGGGTTGTTCACTACAAGTAGGTGTTCAAAAAGAAAGAAGGAATATCAAGGATTGAAAATAGCAAGTATAAGGTCAGGTTGATAGTAAAGGGTTACAATCAAATTCTAAATGTTGACTTCACAGATGTATTCTTAGTAGTTGTAAAGCACAGTTCACTTCGGGATTTACTTGGGACAGTGGCAAAGAATGATTTAGAGTTTGAACAAATGGATGTTAAAACAGCTTTTTTTGCATGGAGAACTTGAAGAGAACATCTACATGCAACAGTAAGAAGGATTCATAGTTTCTAGAAAAGAAGAGTATGTGTGTGCTTATTGAAAAAGTCCTTGTATGGACTAAAACAGTCACCGAAGCAATGGTATAACCGGTTCATTCATTGATGACTACTCGTGGTTTTACAAGATGCAATTATGATAATTGTGTGTACTTTAGAAAGGAAAGTAGTGGATCGATTACATACTTGCGATTGTATGTTGATGATATGCTTATAGCAGCCAAAGATAGAGCATAGGTTAGAAAGATTAGATCTCAGCTAAGCGAGGAGTTTGAGATGAAGGACTTGGGTGCAACAAAGAAGATCCTTGGAATGGAAATCTTGAGGGACTAGAAAGGCTAACTGATTGTATTTGAGTCAGAAATTGTACATTGAGAAAGTACTTCAAAGGTTCAATATGCTGAATGCTACGGCTGTCAGTATTCCATTAGCTGCCCATTTTAGGTTATCATTCGGATTGTGTCCTCAATTAGATGAAGACGTTGACTACATGTAAAGGGTCTCTTATTCCAGTGTAGTTGTTTTGCTTATGTATATTACGATTTGTACAAGACCTGATTTGACATATGTAGTGAGTACAGTTAGCAGATCCATGGCAAATCCATGAAAGGAACATAGGAAAGCAGTGCATTGGATCCTCGGATACTTGAATGGCTCTACTAATGCTTTTTTGCATTTTGGAAAAAATTCAGATGGAGTAATTAGATCTATGGATTTAGATTATACAAGGAATTTTGATAAAAGGAAATCACTCACAGGGTATGTGTTTACCTACGGAGGTTGTGCTATCAGCTGGAAAGTTATTTTACAAAATACGATAGTTTGTCTACAACAGAGGCAGAATACATAGCAATTACAGAGGCATGTAAGGAGGCTATGTAGTTGAGTGGATTAATCAATGAAATTAGTGATAACTTGTAAATATCTACAATATACTGTGATAGCCAGAGTGCTAAATTTCTGACAAAGGATTAGATGTTCCACAAGAAGACTAAGCACGTTGATATAAAATACCATTTTGTGCGTAAAGTAATTGGTCGTGGTGATATTCTAGTGAGCAAGGTTGATGATATCAAGGATAATCTTGCTGATATGATAACAAAATCACTTCCCATTGCTGAGTTTGAACATTGCCCAAACTTAGTCAGTGTTTGTCATTGATTTAGTCCATTGGGCTTGTTTGGAAAAGGTGGAATGGTGTTTATATGAGATGTGTATTTGAAATTCTTTGTGTTGGAATTTGGTTCAAGGTGGGGATTTGCTATAATTTGACCCAAATTTTTGTGGGTATAGGAGTTATGGTTGAGTTGGTCTTGGAGAAATTAACTTAAAGACCGAGACAAATTATTGGCGCATTTTCGTTAGTTGGATGTTCGTGCGAAACTGTCAAAATTTGAGCAGAGAGTTGTCGCCCGCTTTTTGCTCCCAATCGCTCGAACCCGCTCGAGCGACGGTCTTTCTCGATTTTTTCTCGTTTTAACGCGTCTTGGACTCCTATTCATCTACAATTAGGTCTTTTGGCTTCTCTATATATACAAACCATCGTGTATTGTATTATAACATATGAAAATCTTAAGAGATTGAGAGAGAAAAAGTTATACAACATCTTAAGAGCCTTAGATTTCAATTGAGTGCATTAAGTCTCGATATTGTAAACACAATTTCTGTTGGTTATAGTGAATTTCTCCTATGTGAAAAAAATAAAGTTGAGTTGCACCAGTTAAAAGCATGGGTTTATATTATTATGAGAACAATTCTCAAATACATTAAAAATGTTAACTAATTTCAAAATACTGATTTTTATTATTTATTATTTGAATTTTTTACAATAAATTTGTAATTCAGTATTTTTACATTATATAAAATTACGTTGCTCACATATCGCAACCTTGTTTGCACTGTTGCCGTCCAATCATTTATTAGACACCGTGCTACACATTTTGCCACCCCTCTACCATCACTTGTTCCCACTTTTTCCCCCCAAATTGAAGTCCAGTGGGGAAAGACTATCACCCCTATTTTTACTTCGAATTACTTGTACACGTTTCCATCAATCACTATGTTTGACTATGTTAAAGAGGGTATATTTGAAAATGTCTTTGGGTGATAATTTATAGAAATTTGACTAGAGGAATAAAACAACGAGTTGAAGGTCAAGTTTGTACGATCTCTTCAAAATTCCAGTACTCTCAGATGCCAAAAAATTAAGAGACTCGAAATCAGGACAAAATGCACCGTACAATAAGTTTGACTCTTTATTTCAAAAAATTTCATAAAATATTTTACACGTAAATCTAAATTTTAAAAAAAAAATCACTATCCAAAATATCATTTTTCCTCAATTTCTTTTTATAGTGATCATCAAACAGAGACAAAATATCATAACAACTCATAATAGCATGGACGTGAATTTCTTAAAATGCAATTACAAGAATCGACATAAAAAGGATAAAGTTTTCGTCCAAAAGAGCACAGGGGCCTACATGTAATAGTCGATAGTGACCCTTAGAATGACAGGTCATTATCTAAAAGAGCATGAATGTCCCTCTACGTTATAGATCATAGATGTTGATCATTAAAATCTTAACTATTTCTAAAATATTGAGATCTCAACGTTGAAATATCATGGATTACTCCAGTGAGAATGTCAATTATATCCTAATTGAAAAAGACCTCATCAACCAACTCGATTGTAACTCAGCCAAGTCAAGCCAACTAACATCACAAGAACCAACTCAATGTCATCGATTGATAATGGCAGGACCCATAAAACTTATGTCTACATTCTCGATTTTTTTAGTTGAACTAGCAGACCAAGGAAGTTTTTATGACATCCAATATTAAACGGTTTTTCATCAAAACTATCGTGTTTTAGATTCGAACCAGGAATCTCTCAAAATCCATCCATGGTGCAAGACCACCTTAATCTCACCAATATAACCTCAACACATTATCCTTTTTCTTTCATCAGTCATCCATTCTTGACTTCCAAATTCATGGGAGTAACAGAAAGTCTCCATTAACAGTCCCTTTAAAACGCACAGGTTATGGAAACAAGTGTCACATAACTGGGTACCCCCAAGACACCATTACGATATAAAGTTCCACTAAAGCACATTTGAGACGATGGTGCTATTATCTTGTCCAAAGATGCTTTAAATTTCCAACAGAAACAAAGAAGATTCCTAGTCTGTCAAGTTCACGATCCTCATCGTGATTCGCATGGATTCATAGGGATTAAATCTTAATCCCTTCTTAAGAAAGCAAAACTAAACAGAACAAAAATTGAAAACAAAGAAAGCAATCATACTTGCAGTCACAAGTTTATTTTTGCTATAATGGAGAAGAAAAGAACAAAGAGTTTTTTCTCTCTCAATTCCCATATCTTTATATTAGGAATATTAGAGTGGCATAATACATGTACAGAATCCACAATTTATCCCTGAAAAATTCGCCAAATGTGTTGAGTTTATGCAAAGCTATCTCAAAATAAGAGGGTGGGAAAGGAAAATACCAAAAGTAGATATATTAAACAAGTGCATATAACTATATGATTCTTCAACATTATCTACTCTTTTCTTGACTTTAACAAGGATGGTAAACATCTGCACATTTTAAAATCTTGAAAGTATGGGTTGGGTGTTATTGCAGACTTGTTTTCTTAATTAGCTGTAATCCTCTTAAACCACACAATCTAATATACAGTCGAGGATAGACATTATTCAGCACCTGTATCCTCAACGGTTTTCTTATATTCTGGCTTGAGCTCATACGTTCCTTGGTTTGTTCCCCTTTTATTATAAACACATAGCTCATTCAATATCTCTTTCAAAAATTGCTGCAAAAAGAAATTAGATACATTAATATATGAGCAGTAAATTCTAGGAAAATGCGAAACAAGTGGAGAAATGGACATCACATCATGTGACCTAGTATCATGGAAAACTAGGAGAATAAATTACATAAGAAAAAAACTGCTTCATTTTCTTGAAGGACAAGTATTAACAAAATAAAGTAGAGAGGCCTTATATTTGACAAAGACATTGGAACTGACACTAATTCTTTGATTCACTAGAAAGCAGTGAATAATGCAAAATAAGCGCATGTTCGATACAATCTTCCTGGACAGTATAATAGACAATTTAAACTTCTTTTTCTTGTTTATAATTTCCACATCTATCTAATCCATCTTATTAAACATACCATAACAGAACAAGAGTATAAAAATCATACCGCAGGTTGATCAGTCTCTTGGACAAGCTGCTTCAAGGTCCAATTAGGTTGCCTTTCGAAAAGCTTAAACATGATATCTTCCAGCTCCCCACGGTCCCTTCTAGTTCTTTTCACATCGGGCCCCTTAACCGGAGCTATTTTCTTCTTATCCTGCACAAATGCAATTAATTATACGAATATGATTCCTGTTGTTTGACCACTATTACAGAATAATTTTGTAAGAGATATATGGACCTTCCAATTGATGAGAATATATGCAAAGTGAACAAAGTTGTTCACCACACAATAAATATATCTATCTAACATTAGATGGCATCACAACCATGTTAAATCAAAAAGTCAAAGATGGCAATGTGCCCACACCAAGATCATGAGCACTTGCAATTTTAACTTAAATTCAAAAAATATTTAGGTCAAGTCCAAGCTAACAAATTGGATCTGCTCTATTCACTATTCAGCAGAAATGGTGAAATTCCACCTGTCATGGTGGGATGCATCAGCTCCCCTTGCAACTCTTCAAAGCATGCATAACTAATAGCACTAAAAATAGCTATAGCGAAGTACCATATAGAACACCTCATACTGCATCCACCAACCTCTAAAGGTTTATGATTGTTGAAGCATTGTTACTACAACACAATCTTTTTGAAGTTATTTTGGAGAAAAGAAATATACTAGTTTAAGTCATTTATTTTATGTCAATCTTATGTTTTAATAGAACATATTATTATGTTGTTATTTATTCATACACTAATGCTTTAGTGACAATCATAAAATCAATAGTCTGAAACCCACTGCCACTCACGTATTAAGTGCGTCCAAATATATTGGCCAGGTAATAAAATGTGATGGCCAAACGTATTAAACTCAAAAAAGGACTGATACACAGTTGTATATAAACTTTGACTCTTCTCAATTATACCTCTTATTCAAGCAGATGATAAGATATCTAAAGCAAAGTTCTTGAAAACAAAATATTGCAAGTAATATTTCAAATACCTACTACTAGTTCAATTTCAAAATAAATGGTTTCCTTTCCTGATTGGGATGTTCTCAAATAATGCACACTTACCCAAGTAAACCTACTTTATAACCATCTCTTAATTCTTCCACGTTTTCTTTGGTAGAAAATGGTCAATATTACCATGTTCTCATATTCTCTTTTGAACCTGTCAGTGCGCCACACAGCCGCTTACAACATATAAAACACCACCATCATCCACATGTCATACAACAAGCATTTGGACCTTATGGATCAAACAACAAACTACAATCACCGCCCAACTGCCAAACCGATCACCAAAGTCATCATCACCACACTGACCTTTCAATCAATCTTCCTCACATTGGTTATCCACTACCTACCATTGCACTTTCTCCACCTCCATGCCAACGCCACTTATATCCTAAAACAACACCGTCTTAGCACGTGGTCCACAACCACTACATTGAATCTGACCTCAGGCCCTGATCTGAAGAGTTATAGTCCTAGTATCTATGATGCCACGATTGGAGATATTCAGGAGTGATGGCCATGTGAAACAAGCCATCATTTGACTTCACATCAGTATTGAGAGAAGTACTGCCTTGGGTGGCTGTGCTGCATGTTGCGGTGTTGATTGTGTTTTAAAAAAAATTTGTTGGTCCTAGCGGAGATTTGGTGTTTTGGATCGGTTACCTTTTTTTGTTGGTTGTAAAAGAGTTTTTTCCCCCCATTTTTGTTTCGGGATGTGTTAGTAGTGATAGTGACGCGTAATTTTGGGAGTTATGTCGTGGTACAGTGGTGGTGGTTTGGGAGTTTTAGGTAATTAGTGATAGTTAAAGGCTGGGATAATACAAGAGCTGCTCTGCAACATTTTGCAGTGATGGTTGCTGGTCGGAGGTGTTAGACATGTAGGAGATTAAAGGAAAGAAGGATTGGCTTTATTGTATATCAAGATTCAAAGGGAAACCCATTGAATTGAGGGTGAAAATGGGAAAAATGGGATGTCAAATATGAATCTAAAAAACCTCTTCAAGTCAAACCATTCTATTCATTTTGAAGCCCAGAAAGTAATCAATATCTATTTGATACCTAGAACCAAACATTAGTTTTTATATTAGCGATGTGTTGAGCAGAACAAATCAAAATAACATCCATCATGTAAAAGTTAATATCAATCAGGTAATTTCTCCACAATTTGCACGTATTGGATGGATCTAATTAAAATAGCATCATAATCCAAAATTTTAAAATCATTAGATATCTTATTCTTTTAAATGACATTATAAAAACTGAAAGTTTAGATTGCATGAATCTTGAGTATGGACTAGATTTATAAGCATTGATGACAACCAGAATTGTAGACAAAAATCAATTTATGTTCTTATCTAAGGCTTGTTCGGCAGTGATTTTGAGGATTGATTTTTTGATCGTTGAAGTGAAAAGTGGGTTCTACTTGTGGGAGAAGAAGTCAAAAATGAAAGCTTGAATGATAAAATAATGGTCAAAAAATTGATTTTTTGGGGTGAAAAATTGAAAATGCACCTAGTCCTGCTCAATCTCAGAGAATTTACTGTATCAAGAGGACAGATTTAAAATTCGCTAGCCCAGCTAGGCGGGTATTGTTGCATCAGAATTATAGATGTTCGAAGAAATTTGAAAAATAAACCCAACTGATATGACAAATTTGGTTACAGTATCTTTTGAGAGCCATTTACTCCTGTCACCTCGTTGGTTTTTCTCCCCTTTTGTGTGTATTGTGGTGTGTTCAGGATGGGTGTGTGGAGCTAAATAAGGTCATAAGGTACAAAGAATACAAATACCTTGGAAGTGGACATAGTCATGCCTAGCATTCCAGGCATGGGCCTCATGTGCACTCCACGATCATTATCAATCACCTACAAATAAACGAACAAACCGAAAAAGTATTTTCATACAAAGATATCATACAAGAATTGAAATTCCAGCAATATAACATGCAAAGACATAAACTGAGATGTGTATAACCTGTATTTGTCTATTCTTGATCATGGCTTTGTTTGTCCTTTCACGACACAGTTTCCTATACTCATCAATATTCGCATGATGGGGCTTCATGTCAAATTTATGTTCGACTTTTCCTTCCACTGCAACCCCTCCTAATGAAAAAGAAAACATAATAAAGTCATTGCAAAGAGACAAACAGATGGCTGGTGTTTCCCCCCAAGTTGATTTGGAAACAACTTTCAAGAGAAGGGCTTAGAGTGTATAACCAAAGTTACACGATCACAAAGTAGAGCAGCTAATATATCAGGACAGCACGACTTGAAAGAAAGCAAGGAATGAACTGGCTGACCCAATAAAAGAGCCCAATATTTCATCTTGAGAGTCTTGGTTCTAAACACCATTCCAACTATGAGTCACAATACTGAATGCAGTAAACTGGAAGTCCTCTACAGCCCATTGTTTCATAAATGTATTATAGCACGATAAATTATACCATATATTTATGATTTGGATCAGGTTACCCATTGTCTTATACTACAGAATGCAACTTTTGAGATACATGCATATCCATGAGAGAATATCCTTGAGGCAAAAAAAAGATTCTATAAAAAATCATATGCCCAAGAAAAAAAAATGCTGCTAATGAATGCTTACATGTCCACCTAACTTGTTAACTTTCCAATTAAAGAGAATAAAACTCATTCTCTGCCTTTATCTTATTTCCGGAATCGTTAGTTGTCTTGCACATAGTAGTAATATTCAATTACGTTACCACATTAAGAAAGATGAACAAAAAAACCTCCATCTAAAAGAGCAATGAAATAATGATGCTGATAACAAATCTCAAAAAGAAGCATTCAAATTCTGTGAGTGGAAGCATAGTTTGAAAGATTTGTCACCCGAACCTAGCTAAGAGTTGTGCTGAACCTTTCTCTAGCTGGCCTTTTCTTATAAGGGGTGGCCTTGGGAATATGACTCGCGCCTGAAGGCTTTACTCACAAGATAAACTTTTAGGCTTCAATTTCGATACAGCTTTCCTTCTCGTAATTACAGGTAAGGTATCAGAATGTCCAAAAGTTTAAGGAAGATCATGGACTACATCAACAGATATACAGCATTGCTTATTCACTAGGTCGAAATATATTATAATAGGAAATACAAATATAATCGAAATCTAGAGCAGTTAGAAGTTTATCAGTGGTAAGATTAACTTATACACGTTTAAAAACGAACTAAAGACAAGTAATCCTATCCAACATAAAAAGAACGTTTATAGGATCTCAAAAAATCCAGTACACAGATAGATAAACTTTACAATGTATAGAAATATTTGTAAAAGGAAGGGTATTCATAAAAAAAAATTAGAAAATTAGAAAAAACAAAAGCTAGGTCAAAATTTTCACCTTGATCAGCTTCAGAGAAAATACACATGGGAACGATATCCTTGGACATATTAAGAGAGTAACTTTTAGGAACATTCACAACCTCACTGCTAGCCATCTCCATGGTAAACTGATATCAAACAAAGTAATCACAAAATTAACCCCTCTGAAAGTCAACAATGTAAAGTTCAAAAAGGTAAAATCATCAAACCCGTTTAACAAAAGCACATGCTTATACACATATTAAAACAAAGGATGATGAAATGCACTTGAAGGTCGGAGGGTTCTTCGGAGCTAAGGAGATCAAGTGAGACAACGACTTTGGCGACCGGCTGCGAATCGGCGGAGGCCGCGGCAGCCTGCCATGCCTTGGAGACTACTGGCGGACACTTCATCATCCACACAGATCTCTCGGCTTTCGCCGTGTCGACGGCAGTGCTACTGTCACTATGAGAATCCTCCATTTTTTTGTTTTCTGAGGTTATTTTGTGTCCGGTGACGGTGGGGATCTGTCTGAAGAAGAATTTATGACTGAATTGGACTGGGTTGTTCGACTCGGATCGGGTCAAATAATTTTTTCTTTTTCATTAATAAGAATTATATTAAGATGTGAAATTGTTGTTAGTGTTATTTATGTTTTAAGTTTAATTTTAGTGTAGATTAAAAATTGATAAAAATTAAAAGTTAATCTTAACAATATAATTTATGAGATTCATAACTTTACAATTATACATTTTATTTTTTTATTTTTTGTCAATAATTACTTAAAATCTGATTTTAATTTGGGGGATTTTTCTAAATGGCCTGTTACTATTCATTCTTGCTAAAATGTCTCTATTACCCTTAATGAAATGGCTTGTCATATTTTGCACAAAATATCCTAATTTATTCGAATAATTCCAAAATTCTTCTATTTCTCTTATTTCGAATTTTAATATATAGTTCCATCATTTGATCTAATAAATTAGCATAATCTATGATATAATTGTCATATAATTATTTAAGATTATCATATTCCTTAAATGATATATCCATAGTTTCTAGTTGAGAAAAAATATTTTTTTATTTTTTCTAATAGTCTTTCTAACAGATTGTCTAATCCCTTAATTGTATAGCCTGACATCATATAGATAATTCCTTACAAGTTTTATAAATAATAATAACATGATAGATAAATTTTTGCAAATATGATAAGTAATAATCCATACGATTCTTTCAAGATATTAGAAGAATTCTTTCTAAATTTAACAAAGACAATACTTTTACCTTACTTTTGATCTTAAATCTGTATTCTTAGAATCGAGTGACATTCAGGCTCTAAATTTGCAAACTGCTCCCTCAAACGGCCTTTTACCTCAATGGGAATTATGCTATTTCAGCTTCTTGCTCTCATTGTATCTTTTCTTAGAATTAAGATTAAGGATCTTAAGTAAAGAAAATTCTCTCTTTGTTAAAGTAAGAAAAAAATTATCTTCTTTAATCTGTCAAAAATTTACGGCATAGGAAGTTTAGAAACTCATATTTTTCTAATATCAAAAATTTGAAATTTTATTTATATAATGATTTATACAAGGTTTCTATTGTATACAAGGGGTTTCCAAAAAAACTGGTTTTAAACAAAATTTAAGAAAAGAGAATGGTTTATAACTCGAGATGATCCATTCTTTCCCCCAAAGACCTCTATTTATACATGACTCAAACTTGCTATTATTGGTCTATTACATCATTGCATACATCAGAATTTGAAAAGTCTCACATCCCTCTCTATTCTTTTCCTCTTGGGGTCTACATTTTCACATGCATTTTTACTTTTTCATCAAAGGGGCATCTTTTTCTCTATTATTGCCTCTCCATCTTTGGCTCCATATGCAGCTAGCTAGATGCTTTGGTAGTGGTAGGTCCCCTTTTATTTATCTCCATTCATCTTTTATCTTCAGGAATCAATCTTTTAATTTTGTCTGCATGTGGGGCACTCCCTCAGTCTGCATGATTCTTGAATTATTGTAGGACTTCCATTAATTTGATGAGTATCAAATTTCTGGATATATTCTTTCAAAATAGTAGATTTTTCTTTTCCATTATTCGTAATGAGTGTCCATCCTTCATATTAACACAAGCATCTGAATTTTTTATCATATAAGTTCTTTGCAATGTTGTAAAGAATTTTCATCCCCAAAACTCTTCGGGATTTTATCCATGATTTATTGATTTTAGACAATGGTTTATTATTTTGGCCAACTTCAATCTGAAAATCTCGGCCAACATATCCAATTGTGATAATATGTTCAGCAGGATAGTATATCCTTCCATTAATCTCGGAACTTATTGAATAAAATTTGATATAAATTGATCTCCATTGGGCAAATTTTGAAACTTCTGCGCTGAATATATCATCAAATTTTTTAATTTCTTTTAAATCTTTTCCTAGATAGATCAAATCTAGAAATCTATAATCTGCTGCCATTTTGATCATGAAAGGGTCTGCATCTTTGGTAATTATTAATCTTGGATAAACATGATATCCTGATGTAATAAAATATGATTTATTTTCTTCCAATTCATAAACAATTTTGGCAAATAATCTATATTCTTCTTCTTTTGATGAGAAAGGGGTATCATCATCTTCATCAGTTTTGATCCTAATAACTCTTGTATGTTCATCACCATTTTTTATAGTCACCTTCCGGGAACTTGCTATGTCTCGTTTGATATTGCTGGGTCCACTGCGGCTTCCTGACTGTGTACCTGTTTGTATTTTTGAGATTATATCTATTGGTATTTTCTGTTTGGTATTTAATGACTTGAATTGTGAAGTAAGTAATATCATCAATTTTATCATTCAATTCTTTGGTATATTTGGAATGCCAACAATTTGACATTTTGTTGAATAGATTCTGCCATTTGCTCTAATTGCTCAATTCCAATTTTCATATCTTCTAATTCCTCCATGAGGAACTCCATTCGTCTTTTGACGTCTATTAATGAATTTTTGATATTATCTATCTACGAATTCGATATTCCTGCTCAAAAAATCTGCAAGATAATTATTTATTCCTTTAATATGAACAATATCAAAATTGTAGAATGATAAATATGCTTACCATCTGTGTAACCTTCTATATTGAGATTCCATAGGTATCTTATTTCTAATAAGTCCTGCAACTTGAGAATTATCAGTTTCAACAATAAATTTTTTAGATAAAAGGAATAATGAAAACTTTTTTATTTCTTTAATAATTGCTAATAATTCTTTTTCACGAGTAGTATAATTTATTTCTGTTTAGTTAAAAGTTCCACTTGAATATCTGCATATTTCATTTAAATCTGTTTTTAATATAGCTGCCCAATATTTATTCGAGGCATCAGTAATAACAATTAAATTATCATTTTCATTTGGTAATCTTAATTTTGGTAAATTTTTACATTTTTCTTTTAATAATTTAACAATTTCAGTATGTTCTTTATTCCAACCTTTAGTATTTTTTTTCTAAGTAGAATTTGTATCTTATGTCTCTTTTTTGAGAGATTTTCAATAAATCCTTCAACATAGTTTAGACATTCTAAAAAATTTTGTATTTGTTCTTTGAATTTTAATTCATTTAAAAAGCTTTCTATCTTTTTAAATATATGAGTCTGTAATTTTACTCATTTTCTATCTATTGATAATCCCAGAAAATCTATTTCTTATTTCTCGATTATAGATTTCTTTCTAGAAAGTACAATTCTTTCTCTTTGCATTCATTTATGAATTGTAATAAATGATTCCTATATTCTTTTTTATTATTAGAGCATATTAGTATATCATTTATATAAACAATAAGAAAATCACTAAACTTTTTGAATATATTATCCATTTTCCTTTGAAATATTGTGGTGCATTTTTTAAACCAAATGGCATAACTAACCATTCATATTTTCCTCGAGGTGTACTAAAAGCTGTATATTGTATACTATTTTCTTCCATTTTTATTTGCCAAAATCCTGATTTACAATCAAATTTGGAATAATATTGTTTTCCTTTTGCAAGGTTTATTAGGACTTTTTTATTTGGTGAAAAGTAACCATCAAATTTAATATATTTATTTAATTCCTTATAATTTATTACCATTCTAACTTTTCCTCTAATATGCTCAGAATGTTTCATAACCATAAAAGCTAGGCTACTATGAGGTCCATTACTGGGTCTAATTAACTTCTGTTCTAATAGTTCTTTTATTTGAATTTTAAATTCTTGCATATCCCGTAAGGTATACATCATTGGTTTAACTCTTATTATAACATTTTCTGTTAATTCTATTTTAGTTTTAGGATGATATGGTTTCCAAAATAATAATGAATTTTCTCCATAAATTTTTTCTAATTGTTCTATGATTTTTTCCATACTTATCTTTATTTCTGTTTTTAGGATCTTTTTATATGATAGTTTTTTTTTTTTAGTTCATCTTGTACTATTGGTCATTTTTCTCATTTATCACCACGCTGGGCTGGCTGAACTCTTTAGGGTCTAAATTCTCTTGGTAATTTTAATAGATGTGCACAAGGTGTTTGTAACATTATCATGTAATTATTTTGTTTATAGTATTGAAATTGTTGGATAAAATCATTTCCTAATAATATATCACATTCTAATTTATTATAATTATATACTTTATTTATTATAACTTGTTTACTACCAAGTATTATATTAACTTTTTCAGCACTATCAATTATTTGAGTGCTTTCTCTAGTCACTCCTGTTATTTTATTTTACTATTTTTATTCCATGATTTTATTAAGAAATTTTTAAAAATTGTTATGTCACTTCCTGTATCAATTAAGGCACAAGTTGTTATGTTTGTTTCTACTATAGTAACTTGAATATATACTGCTAATAGAAAACTTATTTGATTATTCATCCACTTCCTATTTTACATAATATAGTTTGTCCTTTATGAGTTATATATAACCCTTATCTTTTTATACTATAATCTTCTAATCCATTTAAGAAACTCATTCCTAATAATACATGAGGTTCAATATCCATGCTTTCATCCAAATAACATGGTATTAAGAGATCAATCCCACCTATTTTTATTGGTACCTTTACCTTTAATTCTGTAGTATATAATTGTCCATCAAAATTCCTATATTCATATGGTTCTATCTTGTAAGTCATTAATCCTTATTTTTAGTTGCAGCCATATGACATTCACCAACTCCTATATCTATCAATATATTTGATCTTTTTATATACCTTCTACTGTTGAAATATTTTCCTTCTATTTTCATATTTCCAATATTTCCATGAGATTTTATTTATTTTATACCACTAGTTTCTCCCAAATATTCTTTTTTATTAGGTAGTATAAGACTTTTTGATTTCTTTATTAACCTTCCATTGTAAAATGTTATTTTATAATCTTCTTCTTTTCTTAACTCTATTATTTCATGCTTAATTTTAGTTATATTAAATTCATATTCTTCTGGAATAAGATTTATTTGTTTGTTTGGTTCCACTATTTCTACTAATATCCTTGCATTCCTTATGAATTTTTATGTATGGTTTATTAGAATAAATATTCCCATAATTAGAATTAGTAAATGTATATAATC